CCATATCGTTAGACTTAAATTCGGCTGCAGAAATCATGCCAATACCGACTTAAGAAAGCCTGGTCACAACACGAAGAAAGAAATCTCGTATTGTCTCTGGCGAAGTGCCGTGCCCACACTCCCCAGCCGGGGTGAAGCAAAAATGTCTGCTGCAAAAGTGTGAAGAGAAGTCGTCAGCACGACTCCAGGGGACTCTGTACAGTGATGGAAGCGGCAGCCGTCCCGCAGACTGTGCAATCTATTTCCTTGTTTTCTCAAAGGGCTATGCGGTCGCAAATGGCAGGTTGCCGATTGTCCGTCTCCTGAACAACGAATTCGAAGGTTTTGGTCCAAAGTGACCTCTTTTTATCGGCTTTTTTTCTTAATTTTATTTCTGAGAGAAATGACTCCTTTGACCTGAGGTCGGACGACGGCACAACCGTGCAATACGATCAAGCGAAAGGCAATAAAATTCGATCGGAGCGTCGGGATGTCGGCCGCGAAGGGTAGACAATTCTGCTTCGACGGGAGTCGACTGATGGAGGAAGGTGGCAGAGGAGGCACAAAAAAAAGATGACCCAGTAAACCAAACCGGAAAATCGCTGTGATCCGATCGGGGGTGATGGCAGTGCTCGCGGTACAAGGCCGTCAGCGCCGCAGTAGGGGAACGACAGGAAAAGAGTCAAGTGGTAACCCAAAGGGAGGACGCGGAGACTGCAGCACCGGAGGCTCGGCTTCGGGAAAGCAGGTCGAGTTGGGGGCGAGAGGCCAAGGGGAAAATCAAACAGCGACTGAGAAAAAGGGCTCCTTTGTCAGTAACACTATTTAACCAGGTGTTAGGGCGTAGCGTGTGCGAGCAGAAACAAACAGCTTAAACCCGTGCGGTTGCTCGACGCAGTCGAAGCGCCAGCCGTCGTAGCCCGTGAGCAGTAATGGGAGAAGGAAAAAAAAATGACGACGAAACAACGACCAGGCTAGGCAGGAGCAGTGCGAGAGGAAAAGTGGCAGGAAGAGGTCATGCTCTCACGTTCAAGGGCGGCCAACTTGAGAAGGGGAAAAGACAAAAAAAAAACCAAACGAACCTTCTCGACTGAGATCCAGACTCAGGACTCAGGAAGCAACCACAGTCAGCCAGCTACAACGTCAATCCGGATGGAATTGGCCCTGCGAGGTGAATGTTGTGGTATGGAATGGGATGGGAAACACACACTCAAGTTTCTGGCTCGCACACACGCACACTAGATGAACGAGAAAGAGACTGGACCGGGGCAGCGGGCAGGGCAAATGGGAGCCGGAGGTTATTTTTTGCGTGTGCCCAAGGCCAAGTGCTCAAGTGTGCGCAAACAAATCGACCCGTCGACAATAAATTTTTTTTGGCCGTCGGCCTAGGCCAGTTGAAGAGGTCCACCAAGCCCAAGTCCCAAGTGGTTCCAAGCCGAACGACCGACGACTTGCTGTCCAGGGCCGCCGACCATGGCAAAAGTGGCACGAAGCAACCACGGAGCAGGAGTACTCCGTACACACATAGAGTGCACACATGCAAATTACGGGACGTCTGGCGTCTGGTACTTTCAATGCTGTCTGGGGCCTGGCCAGTGCCCGGAGGGGGGGGGCATTTGGGCACAAAGGACTTGAGCGTCCGGGCAGTCAAACGTCTAGTGGGATGAACATTGGACGCCCTTGTCCGGCAGAAAAAACCAACGTTGAACTCAGCCACTTGCATATGGCCGCCGCCCTGGCTCTTGCAATGTTGCCTGTTTGCTTGCTCTCCACGGGAGTGAGTACTAGCACCGCAAACGAAGCCCTTGAAGTAAAAGCCCCTCCTCTCGCAACTTGCCGTGCCACCTTTTGTGCAACCGATGGGCTGCAGTTGCCGAGGGATCAGATACGTACCTGGCTGGGTGCCTCCAAAACATGGAGGGGCGGCTGCCGGGGCCAATGGGATGGCTCCGAGGTGGCTGCACATTAAATTGTTCTGGCAGAAACCGACCAGTTGACGACTTTGGAATATTGAGACCTGAAGATTCTACATTTGGCCATTTGCAGACCTGTCAGCGACAGGATGCACCAGGATGCACCACACCCACTTGCTGGCCTCGCAGGGTGAAGCAAGTACGCCGAGTAATGCTCAAGGACGGAGCATCGTACTCGGTAATATGTATTGTACATACGGAGTACATACATGCACATGAGTGATGCGGTTCTCTACAGTCAAGACCGACGTCGCGCCGTCTTCCAGTACAGTCATGTTTTGAAGCAATTGTGCACATGTCTCTTTCTACCGTCATTCTCAACAGCGCCTCTGTGCGGTCCTGCTTGGAACTCTTCGAAGGCACAGCCAAACAGTCTCAGGTGAGCCAGCGGCTAGTCGAGGCCAGGTGACCCTGATTTCTAAAGTTTGATATCGGTCCTTGCTGCCACCTGGAACCACTGGGAACAGGGTTTGATTGACGCTTTACTACGAATAATCAAGAGCCCGAGAGTTGGGCACGGCCGGTTGACGGGTTGAAGGTGATAGTAATGCTGTGCACAACTGGACGAAGCGGATCGACATGCAACAGTTTAATCGGGGCAGGGCAGCTCGGCTCTGAGAAGAATTTGAATTTTTCAATTCTTCACAATGGCTCGCGGCCGAACAAGCCATGTCAAGAGACTTCACAACTTCCAAGGTTAGAACGTAGTAGTAGTAGTACGTATTATTTTGCGCGTGGGGTGGAGACAGCCGTCCATGTCCACAAGGAGCAAATCCCAAGGGCCATGGATGTAATACCTGAGTACTCCCTAGGAGCTTGGACATAGGCTCTAGACCATGATGCATCATCCCAGGCTCCATTTGCGTCTGCCTGCCCGTTTGCCTCTGTCGTACGGGCTCGAGATGCCATAACGGCCAAGGGCAAGTGTTTATGCTCGGCTGCCACCGAGTAGGCATCCAACATGGCATGATGTACGGAGTACAGAGCACATAATTGTACACATGATTGTGGATGATGGCCTGCTGGCACAAACATGCTTTTTCGGCGTGTACGCCGTGGCTGGCCTCGAGAATAACTGACATAATCATTATTATAAATGGAATTACCTCTACCTTCCATTTGCATGCTCGTCTCCGCACATGCCGCCGCTGCAGCTCTGGAACCCGCGTGGTGAAAATATCTCTCGCCCATCCAGATGTCTCACGCTGCTGCGGCTGATGCTGCATGCCTGCGTCAACTAAGTAGACTGTCAAGCAAGCTCAATGTCATCCAGAAGACGGGCCTTTGTACCTCCTTGCATGCATGCATGCACGCATTATTTTCCTGCGCACGCCAGCACAACGTATAAGTTATACGTAGTATTATTTTTAAAGTTCCATAGCCCATGTGCGGGGGGGAACGGACGAGGACCAGCCGGAGACGACTTGAATAGAGAGGTCTGGCTCTTTTTGGTGTCTGCGGGCCCCACTTGGCAACTCCAAGGGGGCATAGGAGTCAACTGGTCCATGTCTGGTGCACACATGTGGGGGGAACCACTCAGTGCGTCTCTGACTCAACTTTTTTTTATCCCCTACCGCGGCTGCATAGACTGATGAATGAATTGAATTATTTTGCCTTTCTTCTCATACGTAGTTATTGCATGTTCGAGGTGGGGAACTCCTCTCTATCGCTACATCGTCATGTATTCCTAGCTGCTCAATACTCGGTAGTGTCAGGAGGAACGCCAATATGTATTTGTCATGGTTCCTTTCGCAGGTGAGCCTCTTTCGCAGCGCCTCACCTAAGAAAAATAAAATAAAAAATAAATACAATCAGGTCTGGCCAAAACCAACTGGGCTCAAGTGGTGCATGGCCGGGCCCCCTATCTCCGCGAGCATCCGTGAGCGTGAGGCAGGACAGCCAAGCAGCCCATGTGTCAAATTTGATATTTGATGCCTGCCAAGCTCCTCCCAGGCAACGCAGGCATTGACGAACAGACTCGTGCCGACAGCGTTCCGTGAATAGGATCGTGCGGGACCTGTTTGATTTCAGGGTCCGGTGATCACGCCTCCGCTGCTGGCAGTATGAATATATGCCTCAACAAGAGTGCATTTGACAGTGGCAGACGAGTCAACATGGTGGCTGCACAGATTGTAGGGGCCTGGCCGACCAAGAAGCGTCTTGGTCGAGCTCAATGCCACGGGCAGCGCGACTCCCTCTCCCATGGCCGCATTAAGCGCCTGGATACTCTGAACGACAACACTCGGCGCAGCCAAGCACGGGTCGTCTGTGACAGCAGCTCGTCCAAGACAGCACTGCACGCGCACCCGAGACTGCATCACTGAATCGCTGCAGATGCGATGCGGCAGAGAGCGCGCGGAGCAGTGCTCCCTGCTCGTGAAATAATATCGAGGACCTAGATCCCGGTCCTGTCATGGCCATCGCCAGTCGGCAAGAGCTGCCTCGCTGTCCTCTTTCCCCCTCCCCAGTCGGTGACTCACTGCAACCAACCGTCTGGTGAGTTTGATCTCTGCAGCAATGCCTCGACACGTGTTTGCCATGGCTCCCGAGTTCCGACCCAATATCCGTTCGCTGACCTGTCAACGGTGTCCTTTATTACGGCTGACAGGCCTGCCGATGTATCGTGTGTAGCAAGTACGGCGGGCTGTTACCATCCTGTCAAACCATTCATCTGTGACGTTAACGTCTTGGTCTTGGCCCCGAGGAGAGACGGCCATCACGTTTCACGTTTACAATTACAAGGCACAATACGTACTCCGTACTCTGAGGCGCAGTGCTGCGTTTTGACCTTGACCTAGTCGTGAATGATGCAGAAATGGCTGTTTCGTACTCCGTACATGTACTCTCACAGCACCGTCTGCTCATCTGAGCCTCCGAGGCTATGTGCATGTATTTTTGGCTCCGCGGCTAGCATCTGATCTTATCCCATCGGTGCATGCTGCTTCCCACTTCCGGTTCCCGATTATGCGGCATGGGGTAGTTTCGTTTTGTACTGAGGCCTTGCTGAGCTTCCCGCCGTTCTAGCTGCCGCGTTTGATTGGCGTCCTCTCATCTCCTCGTCGCCGTCGCCGTCGCCGTCGTCGCTTCCGCGTCCCCGGATCGTGTGTTTGACGTCGGATACCAAGCCGTGTTCTCTAGGCAACTGTCCCGGACAGCCCGGGGATTGGTGGGCGACGGCTGGGGAAACAAGGGCATTTGGATATCGAGATGTCTGGTGGTCCACGTTTCTACGGAGTACAGACAGGACCAAATCGCCGCAGCCAGTCCCGGCACCACGTCCACGTCCACGTCCCTTTCTCGCATGCCCATTTCCATCTCGGGGTGTCGTACTCTGTACAGTCCGCCCAGCCCGCCCAAATCAACAGGTTCAACTATGACGCCCTTCTCCGAGCGTCTTCCCCATCGACCCGACATGGCGGGAATGTACATAGCCCTTCGAGACTACCAAGAGCAAATGGGTCTCGGCGCCGCCACCGTCAAACATCCTCCAAGGCAGGCAAATCCACCAAAGGCGACAAAAAAATACAAAAATAAAAAAAAAGATAGTAATCATCCCCCTTGGCCCAGCTGTGCAAAAAAATTAACCACCCAACGAACGAACAAGCAATCAAACATCTACGGGGGATGGGGGCGGGAGCCAGCAAACCAATCCCCTCTTCGTCCGGTCTATCGGGACATTCATTGAAGCAAAGCCATGTCTGGACGTCTCGAGGCCCGTCTCGGCACCCGGCCGAACTGCGCATCAGCTCGGCTGATCCCTCGCGCTGATACCGCATGTACTGCCCGTAACGTACTGTACATCCTCCAGGAAAACACACGCACATGCGTCAAAATGTATGTATTGTCTGCACTCGGCCGAAACTCCAGTGCGGAGAGTCCCGGCACACAAACGTCTCAACCCCCATCCTCATTTTGTAAAAGGTGAACCACGGACGGGGTCTTCTCGCGGGAGAAGCAGCAGCCAAAGAGACATGGGAGAGATAAGCGCAAAGCCAGCCGCCCTTCGAGACGCCCGTCCCTCAGGACTTTTCCAGGACAACACAGTAGTGCGCTCCAGTCCGGCAGTCTAGTCGCTGATAATACGACGCTGGGGGCTTCCTCGTACCGACCCCCCCCCCCCCCCCCCCCCCCCGCCCCCCCTCCCCACCCTAAAACAAAATCCTTTTTTTTTTTACCTTGGGTCCGTAACATGTACATTCCTTGCTCGGCTGGGGAGGGCAGCCCGTATTAGTCGTGGTGTCTGGTTTCTGCCGGTGTGAACGGCGTAGCGCCAACCACGCCAACCACATTCTGCCACCTCGGGACCCCGTCGTCTGTCACGCCGTCTTTCCAAAATAGGTCAGATGACAGCGTGCTAGTTCTGCCCGAGACTAGGTGACGGCCTTGTTTACCTCCGGGTGTGAGAAATGATGCCTGCGTCACACGGGTGTGGCTTGGAAGCCCTACTGCTCGTACACATTTTGCGTCAAGATAGGTACAATTCGCTTTATACATACAGTCGCTTCGCAGATTGTCGTCACAACCAAAAAAAAAATGACGTCGTCCCATACACCCTTTTCTTCCTCTCTGTCTGCGGCCTCCATGTCCTCGCTCTAATACCCATACACACACGCTCTCTCTCACTCTCTCGCCCTTGCTCTGTCTCTATCCTGACATCCATGATGTTGCTTGCCTTGTGCCAAACGATGCCGCCAGACGGAGACCAGTTGAGCCCATGGGAAAGTAGCTTACGAGATACCACACCAGACACGCCAGTTGAACAAGTGCTGAGAAGAGAGTCAAGATCGTGCTATGCAGCTTGAAGCATGTCAGTCATATTGGGTTGTTTGTGTTTGCAAACCGTGATAGATAAGACCGTCGGATTCTTACCTTGAGTGAAAACACAAGTGTCATAGCAATGGAACCAAAATAGGCTGCAGTAAATGGTAGTCTGGGCGCAGAGAGGAGGTGATAGACATAATTCATTGGGCCCATGACCGCTGCGAACGAGGCCAAGAATAGCACAGACCCAACCGTCCATCTGTCACAAACATGTTAGCCACTTAAACTAGAGCCGGTGAATCACTGCCGTTCAGGTTTCAAACAAGGGCCAAGGCAGCCACCACCCTAGGTCAACGGGAGTGAGGCGAACTGCGACACGGCAGATCTGCCTCCCGGTGACAGAGACCTTGGGGACATCTTGATTCACTTGTCGGCCCGTAGGCCATGAGACGGTGTGAATAATTTTGCAAATCAAGAAGACGCAAAGGAGGGGTTTGGCGTCTGCGAGAGCCAGGAGAGACCGTGATGACGGCAAAGGGCCCAAAATCGCACGCAACATTTGCCACTTACAGAGTCACAAACTTTCGTGGCCGGGTTGCCATTATTGGGAACAGAGTGAAGCATATGACAAAGCAGGCTAGAGCGGCTACGTTGCAAGCCGCAAAGACAAGCAATCTGTCCCATCTACTCACTGCAACCCATGTTAGCCTTGTCGCCCACGAGGCGCGATGTCTGCATCACATGCAGACATCTAAAGCGTGCCTAAAAATGCAATGCACATGTCCCGCTGCAGGGGTGCCGCGTCTTCATGCTACTCAATGTCGTCAAGTTGACGAAGACTATGGGGATGACTTGGGTTGACTCACGAACAAACCAGCCCTCTTCTTCCTCTCGCCGAGTTGGTGCCGGTAGAGGAGCCCCTGGGCCCTCTGAGGTAGGGAGCTGTACATAGTCACGGTCTCGGAATGGGTTGAAGTTTCTGACGGAGGCTAGCAAGCCTGTCTCTGGAGCCGTGCTAACTGGCTCATCCTGTCGTCGGCTCCAGCCTAATGAGTTTAAAGAATCGCGAAACGAGGCCGATGCCATGTCGACTTGGATATTCTGTGGAGTGCAGATAAATGGAGAGAAGGGTGGGAAGAGACAAGTAAGGCTCTAGTCGATAGAACCGTGAGTGGCGGGCCGCAAGGGCAGGTTCGGTGGAATAGTTTCGAAGGCTTGGAGCTATGTCCGGATCGACAACGGGTTTCGTGACGAGCGGTGGCCGGAGATAGTCGGTATGTGTGGAGATGTCGACCAGCAGTCAGTGATGAATGTAGAGTAATGGACCAAGAGGGCTGCCAAGCTGCTCCACGGGGGGGAGGGAGATGGTCAGTCGCAGTGCTGATATAGAAGAAGTCGTATAGGTTGCCTTGCGATGGCAAAAACACGTCCCAGGAAAGGGTGTCCTACCAAACTAGTCTGATATGGCACGCCGCGAATCAAATGCCCCCCGAAGATGACAAGCAACGGACTAAGACGCGAAGCGTACGAACCAAACCGCGCGTTCCGTTCGTAAGTTAGGAGTCGAGGGGAGGGGGAGCGGCAGAAGGTGGGCAGGGTGGTGGGAGGGTGCAAGGCTTGCAGCTGGCCCGATCAAGAGTGCCCAGGATGGGAATCTAGTAGGGCAAACAGAAAAACCAAAAAGTCGATCGCAGAGCTCAGCAATGGCGGCGGATAGAGATCAACTGGTTGCAAATATCGAGGTCGATTTCGGGATCGGGAGTTTGGTGTCGTCGTTGGGTCTCCTCTGGCTAGGCAGGGGGGTGTAGGATGGTAGTCTATGAGTGCGGGCCAAGGCCACATGATTGGCACGCAGGGGGGTCGGGTGCCACTCCGTGGGCACTGGGGGGGCTGTGAGTGGCCGTGTGTCCAGAGGCTTGCCTGGCCGCAGCTGTTGAGAGGCCAAGTTTCACTAGGTGACAGCCGTGCTGCACGGCTACGAACGTTGAGTGAAGTGACTAACTACATGTCAGTTGAGCGCTGGCTCGGCAAGCTGTGGCTGGCTCTTCCCTGGTCGACTGGTCTGGCATTCGCAGTGCCGGCCGCCGCTTGGGTTCGGGCTTTTGCACTCTCCGGTGGGGACGAACTGTTGCAGCTGCTTCGTCCGACCTGTCCATGGCCTCGCTGGTCTTTCCTTCCATGTTCTTTAACTGGTCACTCCGATTACCTGTGGTTACATGATGCGCATGGCATGCATGGTGTGCATGGCTCTCGCGGCCGCATGTATCACCGGCATGGACTACCGCTGGATGCAAGATGGCCCATTCTGTCGACGTCCAATCCCCCCAGGCCTTTTCTCTGGATGATCGTCCATGGATGTGTTCTTTTTTCGGGCTTTGCGGGAACGCGAACATGGGTAGCGGCAGATGTGAAGCAAGGAAGATGTGCTCCAAGTACCTACATATGGCACTCGCGCTTGCATACGGAGCATTCGATCCTAAAAAGTCGTGCATACACGGCAGTCAACCGACACACGTTCTACCTTGCATGGACATGGTCATGGCTTGTTTAGTAGTATGTACAGTACGATTAATGGGACCGGGAGTTGACTCTGCTGCCGCTGCCGCTGCCGCTCACAGGGGAATCGTCCGGATATCGTAGCCTCATGGCTTCCAGAGCTCATGCATGTATGTATGACTTACGCATATACGCACGGGAAGTCTCCGCGGTCGACCCATGTACTATGAAGGAGAAACACTAAGGGTGACCTAGATATTTAGTAATATGGCCGCGGCTGAAGGGGGCTGGAAGGATATGATGACAGTTTGTGCCAAGATGACAGTGTTTAGAGGAGTGTCCGGGCAGGCATCTATCGAATATCAGGCCCAAATATGACAAGCCTCGGATGTCCTTGTGGAATTATGGCATCAAACAGCTCTCGATAACAATGACGCAGGAACCCAGGATTTTGGTCACGACAACCCAACATCCATTATAAATGGCATCGTCGCAAGTGGTAGACTGACCTTGGGCGGCGGTGCCTTACATGACCGCGTGGCCTGCGCTCCCAAGAGGTCTCAGGACTATAGAGGCAACGCATGACCGGGAGAAAAGCACCGATGTCATGATGCAACTCGATGATAAGGCCGGCATCGAGCGTCGAGGTTGTGGCTTGGTGTCTTAAAAGTAAAGTCACGCTCCGCTGCGATGCACCCCCCCCCCCCCCCCCCCTTTCTCCACCAGCCACGGGTCTGAGCCGGCGTGTGTGTGGTGTGCGTGGGCGTACGTGTGCCCCAGAGCATACTGGATTCATTCTCGTAGTGCGCTCAAGAACGTTCCAGATAGCTAATCCAAAAAGGAAAAGGCGTCCTGCCCGTTGGAAATGGCTGGATGGAGATGCTCGAACCTGTGTGGATGCCGCCGGTGCTGGTGTGTGGGCTGGGAGCAGTCAGAAGACAAATCGGCGGGACGAACCTCGTACCGTACCGTGCCCGCTCTGCCCGCAAGTCTATCGCCAGCGTACTCGCTACCGTAGGCCAACGGTGCTAATAAAGGTGTGTGTTGAGATGGATGGCAAAGGGTGTGCTGGGCATCATGGCCGCGTGTGGATGGGCTGGGCGCGGCGGGCAAGGTGAGAAGAGAGGGAGCTGGGCCATGAAGGCATTCTTCGCTCG